CTATTAAGAAAACATTTGGACTGTTAGTTTCAATTGTTTTTGGATGGACCATGTACTTGCATCCATCTTTAAGATGGATGCTTTATACCTCGAGGACTGCAAATGTAGAAATGTGGTCCTCATCTCATTTCTTTAATTAAATCAAATTAAATGAACAACTCCATTCGATGATGCCTAAGAAATTTAGTATATGCATTAGAGAGAGGTTGTAGTTTCTTCCCTTCTTTCTTTGTTTTTTGTTTTCCTTTTGTTTTGGCTAGATTAATGGGAAATGGGTCACCTTACCTATGATAGGAATAGAATTCAAGATGTCTAATTATACATATTATTTTCACAAAAAAAAAAAAATTTGCTCCTTTGAAGATTAGCTCATTATGAAGTTTTGGGAAACGATTTTCGTGACCATCAAGTATCCATGTATTCTTCCTCCCTTTTTTTTTGGGGGGGGGGGGAATAGAACCACAATGACTAAGGCTGTGGGGATGCTACCACCATGACCCCAACCCCTTTCCTATCCATGTCGGTACCCCAACCCCTTTCCTTTATCCATGTAGGTCCCAGATATTCAATTAGAGATATCCCCTAACCATATACAAGTTACTTTAATTTCAATTTTTGATGTAATCTACTGCATTCCAAGGACTAGGCTTTAGCACTAGGCCATTAATGTTTTGATTTGGGGATTATTTTCTTGGAATACACGTGAACATTGTTCCAACTTCCAAACATAACACCAGTGTTGTGTTCATTTTGCTCAAAAGGTTATTTTTTCATGTAATTTTATTGAAATTTAAGTGAAAATTGAATAATTTTTTACCCTTTATGAACAAAAAACAACAGAAACACATGATGGAAATGATACAGGAAATTGAAGATGCAAGCCAAGCATCAGGTTTGCTTTAGCAAGAAAAAACCCTGGCTTCGAGTTTATCATGACTTATTTATTTGCTTGTTTTGATTTTCAATAACTATATGTCAACCCTAACAAGATATTCGTGGGTGTATAAAACATCGGTAGCGATTATTGGCAGATAATGAGATCCGTTTTGGAAGGTTTTTCGGTTAGGCGGGAAAGTGCTTCAACTTTGGAGTAACCGGTTGCGGTTTGTATAAGGTTGCAACAACTTATAGAAATAGGGTTGCTATACTCTACACTGTCCATTTTATTTGGATTGTATAGATTTGACACATCTTTTAAGACAGTATCAATACATGATATGTCTTTTAAGATAATGTTCATTCTATACTGTCCAAATAAAATAGACGGTTTAAATTACTACAACTTTATTTTTACAAATAAAGTTGTAACTTTTTATAACCTTTTTCCATAAAAGAAACTTTTTATCATGAGAAAAATGGGTTTTTTCCTTTTGACAATTTTTTATGGTCAATCTGGAGGTAATATTTTCCCCTTTATTTCCATTTAAGATTTACCCTCAATATATTGCAAAATACCAATTGCTAAGATTCAGATGAAGAAGGCTGAATCGCACCAAAAAATATGTTTATAGTGTAAGTTTGGTTGTAAACCCGACCCCAGCCTCTTTAGCTGAAGCGAAACAAATGTAATAACACTATGATGCGTTTTTTATACATGAAGTGTGATAAATCAGATATCATCCAGAGCCCTTATCGTACATATAGCTATTGTACAGAATTATTGTTCGAAATTGCAAAAGGATAAATTGTTTGTTGATGAATTATATAAACAAAAAATATTTATCATTTTATCTAAAATGCTTTAATAGTTGTTGTAAAAGCCCTTTTTAAGGCATATAACAAAGGAGGGAATGTGTTTTTTTCGATACTTTTCTTTACGGTGCTAACGATGATTGTAGTTTGAATAGAAGTTCTCTATAGCCTTCCCAAAAACGGCCTTTAGAGATGCCATCGGAAAATTGACTTCATGCCTGGTTCCCAGTCTTGTGGTTTGAGAGTCAAGTGACCGGCCAGCCATATTGACCAAGGATCTCCCACGGGCGATCCTGTTCATCATTGCTCCTCGGGACAAGTATGGAAGATGGTAGCAATAAATACATGGCGAGATGAGAAACCAGAGCATGGCAGTAAAGGTGAGAAGAAGATTGCAGAAGAGTAAGTTAAGCTCCGGAAGCCCAGCCTGGTGGCCTCTTCCTTCCCTCCTAAAAGCTATACAACTGGCCTCCAAAACCAGCCGTATAGAAGTGGTGGTAGTCCACATTTGAAGACAAATATTGGTGATTTAGAGGCTCCTTAAATACTGTTGCAAGATGGCCCCCTTGTATCTGCCCATCACTCATTTGGTGGTTCACTGTGGAAGGTAAACCTTTACATGCCTGGGCATTTGATGTCTTTAGTGCAGTTGCAGGGGTTTGAGGTATATTCAGAGTAGAAAGTTACTTTGGGAGTCAAGCTAAGGATCCTTAGATTCTTGGTGGAAAAGAAAGGAAGGATCAGTCATTCTGACCCAGATTACACACTCGGCAGAGGGCCGAATATAAATTAAAGTTCATGGAGGAGGGTACATTTGGTGCCAACCTTCCAGCGCAAAGCTCTTGTACTCAGGGTGGGGAACAAAACAAAGGGTTGGACCATGGTTACTAATGGAAGAAAAGAAGTAGACTGCCTAGGCCTTTACAGGGACAGGAAATTAGTATAGTAAGCTAAGCTAAGCGGATAAAGCATAGTAAGCAAGTACACTGCAACCCTCAGTATATTGCAGGTCGACAGAGCAGAACAGAAGGGACGATACCCGTGTAGACCAGGCAAAGGAGGAGGTTATGTAAAGCCAGTCATATCTAAGAATAGAGGGGCAGACAGGTAACAATTCATGATGCGGACCGCCACTTCTACACATACACAAGCCCGAAAAGCAAAGGTCCATCCTAGTCCACACTGGTCGCAAGGCAGCCACACCAGCTTCCCACCAGAACTCAAAAATAGTAGGGGCCAGCTCATTCAAGTTTGGTGCCCGAAGAGAGGGTGGCACCAAATTCGAAATTTCAAATAGGGAAAGCCCCAAGGACATGCGTCGAACACAACCTGTGAGCTGGGCATGTAGGGGCCTCTTCCTTTGAGAAACCATGATCACCGTACTATGACCAAGAAGAGAGACTGATGCCTCAGATCACAGGCAACCCAGTTGAGGGCCATCTAATGGCCAACACTTCACTAGAAACATTGACAGTTTGAGTAAAACACCACGAAGGTGACTGTCAAGATTGCGCTATAATGAGCACCCCGATGCCAAAGACAGCTCAATATCGTGATGAAGACATCCAAAATCTCTCACATCCCCTCTATTCCCAGTAAAACCAGCCCATCCCTTCCCATTCCCTCTTTCCCAACTTACCTCGTAAACCACAACCCTCTCTCCCCCCATTCATCTCCTCAGGGCATTACCTGCGCAGATCTCACACCACCTCTCTACCTAGCCTATTACATGCCTTCCATATGCCGTACCAACCCTTGCCATTCCCTTTCCTCCTCAAGAGCTTTCCCCCATTCGAGAACCACCTCAATTGTGCCCCAGGGGCACACTTCTGCTCCTCTCCTATATTTTATCTCAACAACCCATAGGGTGTATCGGGGGGTATCTGGATCTTGCGGTATGCCCTCATAGTTAAAGGCATTGAATTTGTTTAGGTACTTCATTGGCCTCAGTGGTGTTTTAGGCCATCAACAGATTTTAGACGGATTCCGATTGCAGTTTATGAGACAAACAGGGCTTCGAAAAGGGCATCGCTTTAGAGAGAACTCAGTAGCCTAATTGTGGCCTTGGGACTCCCCTGGTGCATTGGGACTTTAATGTCACTCAGCAGATACACAAGAATAAAGGCGTGCCAATAGTTGCACATCCTGAAAAAGAGGTTGAAAACCTTGGAGAGAGATTTATGGACATATTCAGGCTAAGAAATTGAGGTCTCCAATCAAATCAAGCAGTTTGATACTAGTGGGAATACATAGAGAGATCTAACCATTGGGGAAGATGTCAAAGTTGAACTGATCTCTATCAGGACTGCCTTAAAATGGAGGAGAATAATTGGTGCCAGCAGTCCAAAGTGAGATGCTTCAAAGAAGATGATCGCAGTACAAAGCTTTTCTATGTGATTGCTAACGGAACAAGCAGGCCCACTAGCATTCAAGGGCTGATAATGTCAGGTATTCATGAGCAGAGCACATAGAAGAAATCGAAGGGGGAGATAGTCCATATTTTTCAGAAGGCCCTCCAGAAGGAAGATATACCAAGGAGGAGAATTGATGTCATTGTGTTTGCAAAGTTGTCATAAACACGGCCCAGTGGGTGGAGAGGCCATTTGATGGGGGAGATCAAAGTAAGCAGTTTTCGCACTAGGGAGGGACAAAGCCTCAAGCCGAACCAACACCCTATATCCTTTTATCAACAACTATGGGACCTATTAAAGGGAAAACTGTGTGTTCCAGGAATTTTATTCCAGAGGATGTATCAACAAAACCATGAATTCAACATTATCAATAAATAAATAAAACCACAAATTCATTTTCCATTGCCCTAGTCCCCAAGAAAAACGAAATCGAGTAGCTTGATGATATCCATCCTATTAGTCACGAGGGAAGCCTATACAAGATACTGGTCAAAGTCCTTGCCACGAGACTGAGACCAGCGCCTGTAGATGCTATTCCTCAAGGACTGGCAGACTCTTGACATTGTTTTAGTTGCAAACACCTGTGCTCACTCCAGACATAAGGACAACATCTCTGAGATCATCTACAAGCTATATTTGGAGAAAGCATGCAAAAGGTTGACTCAGTGTACCTCTTAAACATTATGGAATTAAATAAGAAGTGGGAGTGGATGGAGGAGTTGGATCAGCGGTTGCCTCTGAACTAGTCACTTCTCTATTCTTATCAATGGGAAGTGCCAAAGGCTAGTTTGGAGCCTCGTGAGCGGAATCACGTCCTGTTTGCAATCATGGTAGAAACGTTGATCAAAATGTTGGGCTTATTGAGCTCTCTTGACTGGCTTCAAGTTGGTGCCAGGGGGCCCAATCATATCGCACCTGCAATTTGCAGATGACAAAATGGTATTCTGTGACACCTTATAACAATAAATGAGTAATGTTTCACTATTCTTTTGGCGCTTCAAGGTCATGTCAGGCATGAGGGTGACCATTCACACACCCAAAATTTAGGGCGTGACTTGAAGTCAAGCGTCTGGTTGGGTTTGTAGGCTGCAGGTAAACAGACCGCTGGTGTAAATATTTTGGCCCACTGTTCAGAGGGAAAACAACAAAGACCGTCCAAGAAGTGGCACTAGAAAAAATTCATCGGAACTTGGACCCATAGAAGGCAAAATACTTGTCCATGGGGGCAAGATCAACCCATCAAATTAACTTCAGCTAACTTGGCTGTATGTTAATGTCATTGTTTCATATGCCAATGGTAAGGTGGCTCATGAGAGGATCCCTTTTGAAGGAGCCTTTAGAAGGAAACAAAAATATCCACCCAATGAACTGGAACAAACTATGTATGCTGAAGAGTTAAGGGAAATTGGGGATTGGAAAGTCGAAACTCATTGAATCTGCGTTCCTCACCAAATGGTCGTGGAAGGTTCATGACTGAGCCCTCCCAACTGTGGAGGGAGGTGGTTATCAGGAAGTATGGCACAGGAGAGAGAGGTCGCTTGAAGGCACAAGGAGGCAGGAAGTATGGCATCTGGAGGGCTATTGATGCTAGCCACTTAAACTTTGTCCAGTATAGCCAGGTGGTGGTGGGCAGATGGTACTTTCTGATCTGATAAATGGTTGGAATCCTGCCTGCTTCCGCTCGAGTTTACAATGTTCTCTAAGTCAATAGGCCCTGCTGGAGAGCCAGTCATCAGTGCAGGCTTCAACACCAGCTGGTCCATTCAGCTCAATCATAGAAGAAGATTATCATGCCATTTAGGAATACAGAAGTCTGCAAAACAGGCTCCACCATTTCTTATAATGCCTGAGCAGAAAGGACTCCATGGTTAGAAGCCCAATCCTTGAGGTAAGTTCTCTATTAAATTAGTCTTAGACCAGCTTATAAGGACAGGATATATAGCATGTCAGACACTGGCTCTTCAATTTGGTCAACCCTCTACCCCATTAGACACAGGCCTTGGAGTGGTTAGCCATACTAGGCAAGGTGCTTACAGTGGACCACCTCAAAAAGAGTCACCTTTCTATCCTGAACCTCTTGCCTATTGTGTAAACAAGTAGAAAAATCAGCAAGTCATTTTCTTTTTTATTGTTCTTTCACAATAGACGTGTGGTCATGTGTGTTGGCCATGTTTGGTTTGCAGTGCACTCCACAACCACGATAGAGGGATTTTTTTCCCAGTGGCTACCCACTCTTTCCCAATATTGGGTCTTCCCAGTAAAGGGTATTGAGATGATGGCCACAGGCCACTATGTGAGTCACTATATAATTCATCTGGTTGGAATGAAGCTTTCTGCAACCAGTGCTAGGAGTTGCACTCTTTCAAGTCTAAGATTTAACATGGCCGAAACCCATAAGGAGTACCGGGGCTACAGTGCAACTGATTTCCAATCCCACTTCCCAGAGGTAACCATTTCAAGCGTGCCTAATAAACAGCGAAGAAACAGAGATGGATCTGTACACCGGTATGCTGAAGCTCAACTTCAACGGCAGTTTGCTGGGTAACCCAGAACCTACTGGCATTAGGAGCACCCTCAGGGATCATAATGGCAGATGCCTCTTGATATAATTAGGCACCATACGGAACTGCTCAGTCAACAAAGCCAAGGCAAGATCATTGCTTCTAGGACTTCAATTTCTCAAGGAATACCAACAACTACTGTTAATCAAGGCTGTTTCAAGAACCATTATGCCCTTGGCACCAATAGGAGTCTTCAACGAAATCCACAATAGAATAGCCTCTTGAGGTGCTGAGTTTCATAAATCTGGCATAGAGACAAATTGGAGGCTGACTCACTATCACAGGAGGGGCGATGAAGTCTCCCTATGACCTGGTTTTCATTTTGGACAGTAGTGTAAATTAACTCATTCTTTTTTATAGATACATGTAAATATAGATCAATTTGACACGCAGTGAAAATAGAACTTTAACATTCAAAAAAATAAAAACACTAACAGTGAATCTTTAGAAGCAATAAGTAGGCCCCTTTTGATTCCATTCCCACAGGTTGACCAATAACATTCAAAAAATAATAATAATAACAGGCCGCTTTTGAGTAGTTTCTATGGAAAAGGATATGTTAGCCCTTATTAAAGAATCAATAATAGGCCCAGTTTGTTTATATTATTTTGATAAATAAGCACAAAAAATTGCCCCTTTTAACGAACTTTTTAGAGCTCAAATCTCTGGCATGTTCAAGGAGTCATTCATTTGATTTGAGAAAACTAACATCACATCTATTTCATGATACATGCTCAGAAAAAATGTAATTAGCTGATTTTATTCATGATGACTCCCCAAAAATATTTGCTCTTATACTTCTCAAAAAAAATGTGTTCATATTTGGGCGAAGCACGAGCAGGGATACATAATACATGTGCGATCACCACCTAATTATCTATCCGGAATAAAATTAGTAGATAGACAAGGTACGTGGTATCAAGTTCCGGCAGGTAATGTCACAAGGATAGGGGCAGTCGATCTCCCATACTGCTTCACGCCCAAAATACCAGTCACCTACTGCGTTTGCAATTGTCTGAAATCATACAATCAATTATAAAACTATATCCCAAAACAAGATATTTATAAACAAACTAAGTAATATATAAAAACAAACTAAGTTTATGCTATTCTAGGTGGCCCATGCCAGTCCAATTTTTATTTTTTTAATGGATATTAGAAAAAGCATATAAAAGCTGAAAGGTGTGTAGGAGGGAATTGGAACTTGAGAAGTAGTAACAAACATGCATATTCATTAAACACTAAAGCCCCAAATCATTACTTGTATATAATTTTACTTCCAAAATAAAATGGAGAGGGAAATCCAACGAAATTCCATTAAAAGATGAATTATCCAACAATTTACCATTTCAGAACCATTCCAACTTAAGGCTACGTGTTATCTTATGGGTATTTTGAAATTAAATACAAAGATATGGGCAAAGTGCTAAACTGTTAATCTCTCGTGGGTAATTTCATACCAATAGTTATATAGATCCCCACGCACGCATGCACGCGCACACACACACACACATATATGAACTTACAAACTTAGTGCTCTCTCATACTCTCTTCCTTTTACACAAAGCCAACACGACTACATATACTAATCCCTCTCATTGTGTTACTCCCTACACAAAATAATACTCTCTCTCCACAGCCACACACACACATATATATATAAACCCAATCTTGCTAATCTTATACCAATCCTCCTACTCACTTTCCCCAATGCTCTCTCTCTCTCTCTCTCTCTCTCTCTCTCTCTACTACTACTACTACTACTACTACTCTCTCTCTACTACTACTACTACTACTACTACTACTACTACTTACTACGTACTACTA